GACCAAGGCTGGCCGTCCGTTCCTCCACTAGAGCCGGATTTGGCCTCGCTGTTCGGCGCCAAGAACCACCTCGCTGGCCCGCGAGCTGTTCCCGCTTCAAAACATGACCAGCTGCTGACGCGGCTCACCGACCGCGCACATCAGTGTGCCTTTCAGACCGGCGCTGCAGGGAATAACATCGCCCTTCTTGCCTTCGGCGTCTCCAAGATGATGGAGGAGCTGGAAGCTCCCGAGGAGTCGAAAGCCGTCATAACTAAGACTGCTGATGCCATCCTCAATCTGTGTGCTGCTGTGCTCACCGGTTCTGCTCGCATCGCTGCCTGGCAGACCCTCATCCAGCGAGCGATCTGGCTGAAGGCCCTGCCCTCCATTCCGGAACATCTGCAAAGGGAGATGCTGGATGGCCCCATCACCACCGATGTTCTGTTTGGTCCCCATCTTAGGGGCGTCATTGAGAGGGCTCAGAAGACGGCCGAACTATCGGCTACGGTGCGAGACCTGGTCCACCCTCGGTCAGCCTCGCACTCCGGCCGTCCAGCCAGAGGATGGGACGAACGGCGCGGAAGCTTCAGACGTCCAGCTGCACCGCCCGCTCCACGGAGCCGGCCTCCCGCTTCGGCTCCACATCAGCGGGACCAGCGAGATGGCGGACAACGGTTCCGGCGGGGCCAGCAGACGCCGTCTTGGCAGTCCCAGGTGCAGGAGCCTCGCCGAAAGCAGCCACGGAAGTGACTCTTTGGGGGGAATGTGTGTGTTACTGATTGTTCTGATGTTGTTGGTTTTGAAATAAAACCCAAAAAACGTCACTCAAAGAGCTCAATCCTACAGTCCTCCGCAGAATCCTCTGCCGAGTTTTCACACATGTTCCCCACACCAAGCACTGCTGCACGCACACATGTTCCTGCAGGTAGTCATAATACACGGCCAGCCGTAAGGGTGCGCTCCATTTGCGCTCTGGCCCCAGCATCCGGCCAGGCCCAACTCGTCCCGCTCTCCCCACGCCGTTGGGTGGGGCGGGATGTCATGTCGCTGTCTCGACCACGCGCGGCGGCACAGTGCGCGGCTCCATCCGCTAGCCCTCTGTCGCCCCCGTGCACAGGCCCGGCTCCCACTCGTCCTTCACTCTCGGACTCCACGCTCCGCGGTGTGGACCAGCCTGTTCCAGCTGTTTCGCACTTGCCCTTTCGAGCGCAGCCCTCCATGGGTCGCCCCCAGTTCTCTGGTACGGGCGACGGCGGTAAGGGCGCATGCACAACCCTCAGACGTTGTTCACGTGACCGCGCACACGCGTCCATTGTCGGAACGCGCGCACGAGTGGCGCCGCCTTTGCATCATGAGCAAATGGATTTCGGACACCATTCATTGCGGTCACACACTTCATTTTCAGGCCACTCCACCTCCCTTCAACGGGATCGTGGAGACGACGTTCACATCGCAAGTACAGTCTCAGGCGCTAGAGCTGGAGCTGCGGGAACTTCTGTCCAAAGACGCTATTTCCCGAGTCCCTCGCGGACAAGAACTCTCGGGTTTCTACTCCCGCTACTTCGTAGTACCGAAGAAGTCGGGAGGAATGAGGCCGATTCTCGACCTGTCCCTGTTCAACTGCTCCATAGCAGTAATGCATTTCCGCATGTTAACGATGAGACAAGTCCTGGAATATGTGCGCCCCGGGGATTGGTTCACGTCAATCGACCTGAAAGACGCATACTTCCACATACCAGTAGTTCCAAACCACCGGAAGTTTCTGCGTTTTTCGTTCAAGGGAGTTCAATATCAGTTCAATCGCCTCCCTTTCGGCTACTCGCTAGCCCCGCGCACTTTCTCCAAATGTCTGGAGACCGCGCTGCAGCCACTGCGCACGGAGGGAATGAGGGTCTTATTTTACCTGGACGATCTTCTCCTGTGCGCTCGGTCCGAGGACGAGGCGTCACAGCAAACCAGGAGGTTGACAGAGCATCTGTCGACCCTAGGGTTTTCTATAAACTGGGAAAAGAGCTCCATCCTTCCATCCCAGTCGATTGTGTATCTCGGGGTGGAGTTGGACGCCTCCCTAATGAGAGCACGTTTGTCGCCTGCAAGAGCGGCAGATCTCTCCACGGTGATCTCCCGTGTTCAACCCCGCAAGATCGTGAGAGCCCGGTTAGTCATGAAACTCCTGGGCATGATGTCCGCAGCCCATTCAGTAGTGCCGCTAGGTTTGCTGCGCACGAGGCGCTTGCAACGCTGGTTCGTCCGCCTCCGGGTACACCCAATACGTCAGAAGAGACGTATGTTGAGGATTCCCCCTTCAGTGGGCGGGGACCTCGCTCACTGGGGGAACCCCTGCATCCTCTCACGCGGGGTTCCCATTGGACGTCCTGCGTCACATGTATCTGTGTTTACGGATGCGTCACTGTCGGGGTGGGGGGGCACGTGCTTGTCCCACACGGTGGCAGATCGCTGGCCCTCCCACACGCACGAGCACATAAATGTGTTGGAGCTTATGACAGTGAGGAATGTGATCAGACACTTCGCTGCCCTTCTCGAGGGCCGTCATGTCGAAGTTCACACAGACAACCGGGTAGCGGCAGCCTACATAAATCGCCAAGGGGGAGTTCGATCCCTCCCACTGTTGCGTGTCGCCACAGATTTACTGTGTTGGACACATGTCCACCTGCTGTCCATCAGAGCCATCTACATTCCGGGGGTACTGAATGTAGCGGCAGACATCCTGTCGAGAGGGGGACCCCACGACTCCGACTGGCGTCTACATCCTGCACTGATATCACAGATCTGGATCAGGTTCGGGGAACCGTCTGTGGATCTGTTCGCGGCTCGCGAAAACGCTCAGTGTCGCCTGTGGTTTTCCCTGAGTCCCCGGGACGGACCCCCGCTCAGGGCGGACGCCTTCTCACACCAGCCCTGGCCTCGAACGCTCCTTTACGCGTTTCCACCAGTCCCTCTGATTCCCCGTCTCCTGGACCGAATTCGGTCGGAACAGCTCTCGGTGATTCTGGTGGCTCCCAGGCGCGTGTCCGCGTCATGGTTTCTGGACCTGCAAGCGCTAGTGTCCGGCTCCCCGTGGAGGCTCCCGTGGAGGGCGGACGCCCTTCTCCAGGCGGATGGGATAATCAAACATCCTCCGGAAATAGGCCAACGGCTGTGGGTCTGGCCGCTGAGCGGTCACGCTTAGAGGCTTCTGGGCTGCCGCATGATGTGGTGGCCACGATTCAGAGTGCGCGGGCGCCCTCTACCATTGCCTCTTACGCTGCTAAATGGGCAGCTTTCCAGAACTGGTGCGCAGAACGGAATGTTCAAGCGCTCTCCTGCCAGCTGGCGGATGTTCTATCATTTTTGCAGATACTGATGGACAGGGGCCTCGCATTCAGCACTGTTAAGACATATGCTGCAGCTATCTCATCATGTCATCAGGGTTTTGGAGATAGATCTGTTTTCAATCATCCCCTCACAAAACGTTTTCTAAAAGGTGTCAGAAGGAACAGACCTGTGTCCCGCCCGCTTTTTCCCCAATGGGATCTAACGGTGGTTCTGCACGGCTTATCTGAAGCTCCATTTGAACCCTTGGACCAGGTCTCACTCAAGTTCCTGTCGCTTAAAACTGCATTGCTGCTGGCGCTAGCATCAGTTAAGAGAGTGAGTGACCTAACCGCCCTCTCAGTGGCTCCCGCATGCCTCAGGATCCGGGAGGATGGCGGGTCTGCTGTTTTATGCCCCAACCCAGCCTTTGTGCCCAAAAGCATTAATGCTTCCTTCAAATCCAGGTCAATTTCATTGGCTGGACTTTTTCCTCCTCCCCATAATTCTGAGGAGGAGGCGGCTTCTCACCTTCTCTGCCCGGTGCGCGCGCTTGCACGATATGTGTCACGCACTTCAGGGATTCGTCGCTCACAAAACCTGTTTGTGCACTACAGGGAGTCTTCCCTTGGTCAGGCGCTGTCGGCCCAGCGCCTTTCACGCTGGCTGTGTGACGCCATTTCCCTCGCTTACACATCATCAGGGCGGGATCCCCCTGAGGCACTCAGGGCTCACTCGGCCAGAGGGATTTCCTCTTCGATGGCGCTCCTCAGTGGTGTGTCAATGGAAGACATTTGTCAGGCTGCTTCATGGGCTTCACCCTGTTCCTTTACTCGTTATTATTTACGAGATGTGTCTTCAGGTTCCATCACTCGTTCAGTGCTTGGACCCCAGCAGGCTAAATGAATGCTTATGGCACCTCATTGGCCTTGCTGAGATGGATTTTATCCTCTTGTGGATGATGTTTTTTAGTGGGGGCCCCTCTCTTATCGTGCCTGCCTCAGTCTTTAGGCTTGGTCTGAGGCTGAACGTCCCCCACTAGAGGAGATTTGATTGGGTGTGTCCATTGGTTGTGTTAACCAGTGGGGCGTAAACCCATCCAGCTGCGCCTTATTCCAATAGCAGCTAGCTTAAGGGCTAAGACTAGACGAAATAGAACGTTGGTTACGTATTGTAACCCCAGATTCTATGAGTCTAGTCGCAGCCCTTAAGCCACTGGCCCCACTGGTTATGATGGGAATAAGAGCCATTGGAGGTGAGCAGTGGGGTCACTGCGGTTATATACCACGAGGGGGCCCACTATTGGTGGGCGTACATTTAAACTCTTCATGATTGGCTGATGCGGAGATCATCCTTCCAATAGCAGCTAGCTTAAGGGCTGCGACTAGACTCATAGAATCTGTGGTTACAATACGTAACCAACGTTTTCCAGGCGAGGCGCCGCGCAGCTCAACTCGAACATGGCCACTTGTCACATTCATTGTCCAGTAGCTTGCGGAGATCATTTGAAAGACAACGGTAGAACCCGCCCCACAACCGAGAGCTGTCAATGGAGCGTTGCCAGACTAAATAATACATTTATTTAGTCTGGCTTGCCAGGCTAGACTAGTCCAGTTTTGGTTTGTCTGAGTCCTTGTGGTTCATACTCCAAGCCAGGTGGTGGCGGTAAGGCACCAATTCGTGGTTTGCAACAGCCACAAAACCGCGAAGGAGATTACGACAACGAAGAAGAAGAGTCTAACATGGCGCTGTCCTGCATAAGACTGTTCAATCAGGTGTCTGTAATCCGACTCTGTAGTTCCCGCACTAACAGGACCAAACATGGAGTTTATTTTCAAGACGCCTCTCATCAGTCCATGTATACCCGTCAGCCTCTTACCTGCATCAATTCCCTGCTTGTTTTTTACGTATTTATTAAGTTATTATCTAACGTAGCTAGCTAGCTACTTGTAGATGTTAGCCCCTATATATATATGCATACATATGATTGATGTCCAGTTTCTGCGTAACATTAAGTCGTGTTATTAGTTATGATGAGTATCGGAGTGATGACATGTCGCGTTGTTTCTCTCCTGACAGGTTGTACTTGAGTAGGAACTATTCTTCCTCTAAAGTTAGACAAGGCATCGCCCGGCATGTCAGCTCCAGGCTCCAGTGGGTTAATGCTAAATATGAAGGTTTCCTAAAGAGGCGATTCCCACGATTTTATCTGCTTCATCACACATTTGCTCAAGGTAAGCTCATTATTCACCAATGAAATGTTTGAAATATTACTGATGATGGTTGGAGGTGACTACAGGTATCTGCACATAATTCCCTCATGTTAAGTACTCTGAAATATAGGAATCTATGGACACTTAAATCCAATAGCTAATGAAAATAGGTTTATATCCGTGTGTGTGTTTATGAATTTAAAACATATTAAACATTGCAAACAAGCCTTAGAGAACAAATGAAAGAAAACTGATTATTGACACAGTAAACATGGAATGCAAAAACTAGAAACTGTGTGAAAATGCATCAGTATTTGTGTTTACTCTGTAAAGTGGGTTGATTTTCTCTGTTGCTTAAGGATGAGTTTGCCAGACAAATGTTACGTCAGAATAACTCTGTCAGAATATATTCTAACACTATCCAATCCAATCCAATTTTATTTATAAAGTGCATTCACAAGGCATTACAACCAAACAAGGCGCTGTACACTAAAAATGTTAGTTAATTAAACAGGCGTTATATAAACATGTCGAACACAGATAAAAGATAAAAAGGAAATGCAACAAAATTCCCAAAAATAACAGCTAAAAATCAATAAGACACAGGGTGAATAAAAATTAGAAAAAACATTTTAAAAAGAACCTCACTATCAGCATCAGATCAACCTAGTTGTCTTTGAGTACCATCGTGCACCTCAGCAGCACCACTGAACATCTCCGTCGATCCTAAACAAGCAGAGATACATCTGGAAATGAACTTCTATTCAAATCAAAATCAAGAATGTGTCAGAAATGAAAAAAATAATAAAAACAAAATATTTAAGTGGGCTCACTGTATTGCTGTAGCTAACCACCTTCATGATGGTTTCATGAACTCATTCTAGGATTTAAGCAACTGTTTCAAGATGCCAAAGATGTGAGGAGGATTAAAGCAAAAATGGTGTACGAGGGGGTAAAGTTCCAGGATTTGCCCTACAGGGAGATGGAGAAACTCAGACAAGTAAGAGTGATCCAAATGCACACAGACACAAAGTGAGAAGTACTTGTCTTGTGCTATGAGTCAGATTTTAAAGGAGCGCCTAATAAACAAGTTGTTTTTTAGGATAATCTCAAGAATGTGTTTTTTATGTACAGTTAAAGGTAAATTTATTTAGTCTTGCTACATATTCATATTCACACTAGCAAAAACAGATCATTCCTACATGTGTCCTAATTCACAATTTGATCTGGATTTTAAAAGTATTGTAATAATTTTAGTCTTTAAAATAAATGAGAGCTAGAGTAAATGAATTTGTGCAAGCCAGAGCTGTACAAGCACCAGAAATCTGTATTGATCCTAAATTAGCCTCTTAATGCTCTAAGGACCTTTGTTTAGATCTACATACCTTCCCTGGTGCCACACCAGTACGCGGTGGTGCCACACCAGTACGCGGTGGTGCCACACCAGTACGCGGTGGTGCCACACCAGTACGCGGTGGTACTGCACCAGTACGCGGTGGTACTACACCAGTACACGGTGGTACTACACCAGTATGCGGTGGTGCCACACCAGTATGCGGTGGTGCCACACCAGTACGCGGTGGTACTGCACCAGTACGCGGTGGTACTACACCAGTACACGGTGGTACTACACCAGTACACGGTGGTGCTACACCAGTATGCGGTGGTGCCACACCAGTATGCGGTGGTGCCACACCAGTATGCGGTGGTGCCACACCAGTACGCGGTGATGCCACACCAGTACGCAGTGATACTTCACCAGTACGCGGTGGTGCCACACCAGAGTATGCGGTGGTGCCACACCAGTACACGGTGATACTACACCAGTACGCGGTGGTGCCACACCAGTACACGGTGATGCTACACCAGTACGCGGTGGTGCCACACCAGTACACTGTGATACTACACCAGTACACGGTGGTGCCACACCAGAGTACGCGGTGGTGCCACACCAGTACACGGTGATACTACACCAGTATGCGGTGGTGCCACACCAGAGTACGCGGTGGTGCCACACCAGTACGCGGTGGTGCCACACCAGTACGCGGTGGTGCCACACCAGTACGCGGTGGTGCCACACCAGTACGCGGTGGTGCCACACCAGTACGCGGTGGTGCCACACCAGTACGCGGTGGTGCCACACCAGTACACTGTGGTACTACACCAGTACGCAGTGGTGCCACACCAGTACGCGGTGGTACTACACCAGTACACGGTGGTACTACACCAGTACGCAGTGGTACTACACCAGTACGCTGTGGTACTACACCAGTACACTGTGGTACTACACCAGTACACTGTGGTACTACACCAGTACGCGGTGGTACTACACCAGTACGCGGTGGTACTACACCAGTACGTGGTGGTACTACACCAGTACGTGGTGGTACTACACCAGTACGCGGTGGTACTACACCAGTACGCGGTGGTGCCACACCAGTACACGGTGGTGCCACACCAGTACACGGTGGTGCCACACCAGTACACGGTGGTGCCACACCAGTACGCGGTGGTACTACACCAGTACGCGGTGGTACTACACCAGTACGCGGTGGTACTACACCAGTATGTGGTGGTACTACACCAGTACGCGGTGGTACTACACCAGTATGTGGTGGTACTACACCAGTACACGGTGGTGCCACACCAGTACGCAGTGGTACACAAGTACACATGGATGTTTGAGACTCTCAAGGGAAGAATTGGAAGAACTTCTCTAGTTTTCTCTGTTAACAATTTTCATAAATACAGATTTCTTTGTAAATGATATTATTAGTGATTGTTTTAGGGAAACAATCTGTGTTATGATTAGAAAAAGTACACTGATGTTGTTTAACTTGTTTTACAGTTTCGCAGAGACTTGATCAAAGCCATCCCTCTCATGGTGATATCTATTCCTCCGTTTGCAAACTACTTTGTCTTCGTCTTGATGTAAGTTTCTCTCTGTGAGCTGTCTTTGAATCCGTTTTTATTTAATGCCTGGTCACTGTTTTTAACACTCGTCTCACCACACGGCTCAACTTTTTCTGTGACTGGCCTCTCTTTTTCAGGTACTTCTTCCCCCGTCAGCTCCTGATTCCTCATTTCTGGAATCCCAAACAGAAAGCAGAGTTTCAGCGAGTGTATCATTCCTTCAGGGTTCAGCACTACAGACCAGTGCTCAAAGAACTCGAGATTATGAGCCACCAGCTCAAAAATGTTCCCCTGAAAGGTCAACTTACGAACCTCTGTGCTAAAGTAAGTCCTACATGAGGAACATTAGTGATATGTAAATAGAAATCTTCATGTTGCGCATTAATGCTCAAAACAGGGTCCACAAATGATTTTTAGGCCACACGACACAATGTTCGGCTCCTTGAATTGTTTATGTTTTAGGTGCGGGGGTATCTGTGAGTTCTGGCACCCAAATATGGGCGGGGTATCGCTGTGGGTGACCGAGTGAGGCCTCGGTGATTCATATTTGCCCTGCTTTAACTCCCAGGGAACTCTGGAAGTGGAAAGTGTGGGAATTCTTGGTTAAAGAACGAAAGCAGCAAGCTGAATCTTTGGTTTTGTTTACTGTGTTCATTCAGGTGCAAAGCGGAGCAAACCCTAAAGTTTCAGAAATCCTCGCTGTTAAAAACCTGTTTTCTTCAGCTCCTCTGGGTTTAAAGATGATGAGCGTGGATCACATGGTCAGTAAAACCACCCGTTAGACACCGTTTTTACCTTACCAGGGTATAAGCAGCTGAACATCCTGTCTGTCTCTGTGGCTGAACAGCGACGCACGAGTCCCCTGCTCTTTCTGACACCTCGTCTTCCTGCTTTCCTGATTGGCCGACGACTGAACAGCCATGCCCTGGAGCTGCTCCAGCTGGATCGGGCCCTCAGCAGACTGGGCCCTCACCAGCTCACTGACTCTGAACTCAGACAGGTCTGTGGGAGCTTTGATTTTTTTACTGGCTGAAACTGAGACTCGTTCTGAGTGGAAAGTAAGACATTTTCCTCTTCCAGGCATGTTACCTTAGGGGGATCAGTTCTGATGGTCTTGGTGTTCATCAGTGTCGTGAGTGGCTGTCTCAGTGGCTTCAGGTGTCTTCGTCGCTGAAAGGTGTGTTCACTTGGGGGTGAAGTACAACATTATAGTAGTTCTAATAAGGGATGTAAGGGACTGGTTTGTTTTTTGCTGTCATGTTGAATTTAAATAAAGTTTTTATGTCACCAGTCCACATTTATTTATGTGTATTAAATAAAGTCAAGTTATTTTATTTAGCTCTATTTGCTAATGGATAAAAGTACATTTTTAGTGGCCATTTAGAATAGAAAAGCATTGTGTAAATAAGGGTTTCCTGCTAACGACAAGAAAATGATTAACACCACATATACTGAAGGGAGCATCTTTTTTCATCCTTTCATGCTGCCGCGTGGGTTTCTATTGCCGCTATAAACACACCAGCATGAATAAAAGCCACCCTTTCATTTCCTGTGAGTGTTTAGTTGTAGGAGCTACGTGCCTAACGAGCCTTTTCAAAATGTCTCCTACTGAGCAATCAAGGAAATTAGCATAGCACAGGCTGACCAGAGCGATGAGCCCGCCTTTATAATCTCATAGCCACTCCTGCTAATGCTGTTTCAGAAACCTTTATGCCACATTTTGCATCACTTGATTACAGGAGGACGTTAGCATTGGAGCTAGCTGTCAGTAGCACTAGTGGTTCAGGGTTCAACACGTTAGAGCTTCATAATGGTGACTGTAGTGTAAAATAGTGTCAGCACTAACTACTAAAAGTTGTTTATAGCTGGCAGGTTTCTGTTTTGTAACTGGCCCCATGATGACTAGCAGTTTCTGTTCTTTCTAACTCCCACCATGTTGTGTGTTTGGGCGTGTGACGGTGGTGCTGACAGTGGTGCGGGTTGTCCAGTAATCGGAAGGTTGCAGGTTCGACCCCGGCTCTGGACAGAGAATTCTGCTGTTGTGTCCTTGGGCAAGACACTTAACCCCCCTTGCCTGCTGGTGGTGGTCGGAGGGACCGGTGGCGCCAGTGCTCAGCAGCCTCGCCTCTGTCAGCGCGCCCCAGGGCAGCTGTGGCTACATTGTAGCTCATCCCCATCGGTGTGTGAATGTGTGTGTGAATGGATGAATGATGCACTGTAGTGTAAAGCGCTTTGGAGTCCTTACTCTGACAGGCTCTATACAAGTGCGGGTCATTTATCATTTAACTGAAGCAGAGAAGCAGTGGAGGCGGAGTAGTGGCGTTTACACGCTGTTCTGACAGCAGGATATCTTCGTAGCAGTCCAGCTACACAAGCACTGCCTGTTTAGACTCTGAGGACGTTGTCCCTGCTGCAGCTGCAGCAGGACACACATGTCGAGAGTGTGATGTGTTGACTGAAGTTCATAACAAACCCTTCTTTGCAGCGTGTGTGAATGTTTTCTGTCATGTAAATGAAATCCTGTTCAAGGTTTTGTGAATTTTATTTTAGACTCGATGCCGTTTCATTCAAGACAATGTCAGTTTTGCATTAGCACAAATGTCAGCAGCAGCTAACTGTAGCGTTAGAGCTTGGGTCTAGGCCAAGGAAGGTTCCTGCAACAGTTTGGATGAAGTCCTGTAAGTTTTATTCTGCCACCATGAGAACTGTCCCCTCACCGTTAACCATCTCTCGTGTGTTCTTTACAGAGTCAGAAGTGTCACTTCTTCTACACACCGTCGTGTTTCTCTCCGCAAACTACCCGCATGTTCCGAGTCATCACTGACAGGAAGCCTGGTGCAAACCGCTCTTGTGATTATGGTCACCGCTGAGAACTGCCTCATGCTTGTCATCATCATCTTGTTGAAGCGAGAAACAAATTCATGTCAAGATACGATTAAAGAGAAAAACCAGTGGATGCCGATGCATATCGGAAATAAATATCACAAAAATCCATTAAGAGTTGTGGTGATTTAACTTGGACGATGACTTCCGAACGTCTTCATCGGAGAGATGAGTAGTTTCGGATTTTGATCTCTGAGGAGGAAGCTTACTTAAAGAGCAAGTCAACCCCTACCAGAGTCTAACTCCACTCCCACTTCATGTTTGAAAAATGCAACAAATGCTGTTGCCTGGCAGACCGAGAGGGCGGAGCCGCTAACAAATACACACACACTCAGGCTCACGACAGCATTGTGACATCATAATCTACCAGTTTACATCATAGCATACTTCTTAGCCAATAGCGGTGGCAGATTTAAATTAAAATACAGTGCAGAGTTTTTACCTGACAACGGCACAACACTGCCAGTTTTAGGCAGAATATTTAAATTTTAACTAAGATGCACTGAAGTGCCAAATTATTGACGACACGTGTCTGCAGCACGATTAGACACTCGTTTATTTAGTTTATCAGAAAAAATAAGTTTATTTGGGGGTGACTTGCTCTTTAAATGATGCGTGTGACCATGTTGGGAGTAAAACGAGAAGTTTACGGGTTTTGTTAAAAACATTTTAGCCTGTTATTACAAAGTAGAAAACCGATGATTCTGGTTGAGATAAATGAACGTGATGCCGGAGGGGAATGCTCAGAGTTGAATCCGTATGAGTCGTTCAGCGTTCAAAGCTTCTCGTCTAAGATGTGAAGCAGTTTCTTCAGCCTCACTTCTGACGTTGTTTTAATTTTTATTTTTTGTAAACTGTTGGTCACAACAATATGGTTCTAAACACAATAAAAGAGGAAATGTTTTTGTAAATAAAAAAGGAACAAATGCTCTACACCAGAAAACAGTACATTAATAAGCACTTTTATTTGTAAATTATAGAAATTAATATTGGGGAAAAGGCAATGCTGCAGAGACGTTTAATTAGGTTAGCATGGTGAGAAACTCGTCTTATTTAACATTTAGAAATGATCTGATTTGGGCCACAGCACCAGAAGTGTCTGGCAGCAGCAGTGATGGCACTTCCTTGCTTTACAAGCGTAGAATGATTTTATTTTAAACTTCCAGCCTCGTCTACACAAACGAAGCCACACAAGCCCTGTCCTGTCGCACCTTTTGCTGTGTACTCATTCTCTTCCTGTGCCATTTGCTAGTTTCGGTTCTGCTGAAGATATTAGTTGCTGAGGTGATGTTCTGTTTGAATATTTTCTGACTAAGAACTTGAATGTTGCCTTCTTGTGCCAATTAGAAAATGTTACAGAATTATATCTGCAATAAATGTCTTCATACTGCTTCTATATTGTCTGTTTTTAAAGCGGGCTGCGTGGTTCTTCCCGTGCACGTGAGGGCCGTCTCCGGGTGTCCCGGCTTCCTCCCACAGGAGACAAAACTGCCCCTGGTTGGGCTGGAGACATGTCCTGCATGCTGGAGTTGAGCAGCAGTTCCCTGTGACCCTACTGTGGAAAAGGGGTTCAGATGAGTCTTTAAAGAAAACCAGAGTAACTTTAAATTTCTTTATTAAAAATGGTACCAGGAAACCAGTAAGACACCAACAGACCTGAAATGGATTCAGTACAAGCAGCGCATCGACTCGTCTTAACACAGAACATTCATGAACATTAACTTTTACAATGCATGAGAAAAAGCAGGAAGATTGCTCCTCTATAAGAATATAACCCACAGTTGAACTGAGAGGGAAACATTGTTCTGAGTATAAGGTTAGTTTACTTAAAACTTGAAATGAAGCTCCTAAGCGTGAGCTGACCGGCCAACAGCTACGTGGTTGTGTCACATGACTTCATAGCCGCTGCGAATGCTTCTCATCAACAAGCAGGCGAACACAATCCCCACAATCTGGAAGAGACAGGACGAGGATGACTGATTTTTGTAAAGCCTTATAATAAAATTAGATAACCAGATATATTGATTTAATAAATGAATCATTAAAGGGACTGCAAGGAAGTTTGAAGTTTTTATGCTCGCCATCGCCACTCAGGCCTAACGCGTAACTGCAGCTTCAAAAGTAGGCTCGTGCATGCACGCTGTACGTGCACACTCCTTAACAAAAATAACAGCTGAGACAGTCCCGTGTGTGTGTGTGTGTGTGTGTGTGTGTGTGGGGGGCCCGGAGGACAGAAGAGCTCAGCAAATAAATAAAAAAAATGTGCCTCTGTCTCTGCAGCTGCACTTTCTCGTCGGCTGGCCGAACGTGTGTGTGTGTGTGTGTGTGTGTGGCCCGGAAGACAGAAGAACACGCAGCTAATTAAATAATTTGGTTCTGTACCTTTCTCTTCAGCACAGCCGACAAAGGTTTATGATGGGTCAGTCCTCCTGCATGCTCAGATCATTCCCTTCCCTTGCTTGAAAAATTGTTCCAAAATGAAAGTTGAACCCACATCTTTTTTTATCCGTGAATTCAATGCCTTTCAGCGAGTCTCAAATAAAAATTTGGGCACCTTACTGTAAAAATATACAATTAATGTAAAAAAGAAACTCAAAATGATAAATTATGTTCACAACTGGAGTCAAACCCAGGTTTTCTGGATGAAAGTCAGACACCTTACTAGGTGAGCTAAAGCGCCAATAATGTTCAATCTATCTAACATTTATTGTAACGTTTATATCCTTGATGACAGCTGAAACAACTTCAATCCAAAGAATGGTTCGGAGCGAAAATGGCTATTTTGTTGCTAATTTGCAGGAAATATCTAGAAGAAAGTTCTACAGAAAGTAGCTAAGCGTCCTCAGAAATGTAGCTAGGTTCATCACTAGGCGTTAGGAACAGCGACAAAGTCGCTGAGTTGGCACTACCTCTCTCTCTGCTGCTAAAGCTACGGATAGCAAATGCTACGGGCTATGCCTGAGCGTGAACGCGCATGAAGCAGCCTGCTCGACCCGAGCATCTCTCTTTTTCTGTGATTTTACAGAAAAACAGGAAATCACAGTAAAAATACCAGGGCTCATTCTACAGGACCAGGGCATTGCAGGAGAACGTATGAAGAAGAAATTTATTATTTCTATACATGTTTTGGCTGTCAAACTTCCTTATAGTCCCTTTAAACTAGACCCCAGTGAGAGGTGAGTAAGAAACGCAAACAGGAAACAGCTAAGATTTCGTGTTGATTACAAACAACAATGTATTAGCTAAAATGGGACGTGCTTTTGTAGCATACCTGCAGGAACGCAATAACAAGCGCTGCAACTATCACCCACTGGATGTTGCTCTTCACCGCATCCACCAAAACATCATGACAGCCCTAAAAAAAAAAAAAGAAAGAAAAACATCAAACTACAAAGCTACCTGGTGTCCTTCACCAGACTCAAAACGCTCCTGTAATAGTTTCAACTTCGCTTACAGAAAGTTTTCAAACAGGTGCAAACGCACGTGGTGTACTGAAAAACAAGGTGAGTTTGGGGGGGAATCTACTCAGACTAGTGCTGTAAAAGAGAAACACACAAAAGCCCCCTTCAGACAGGCCATGAAAAACAGAAATGTTCCGGACTCTGTCCGTAAGACCTTTGTGTCTGAATACAAACATCCGGATAACGTTTTCCATAATTAAACCGGACGAAGCCCCTAGTAACAGGTCCGGACTTGTTACGGACAAGGTGGCTGCTTCAGACTGGTGAGGTCGAGTTCCGGACAGGGAGGAGGGGGAGGAGGAGGGGACTGGGGGACGCTGTGCGCTCCTAGATAGCTCGCTCCTGTAGCATGCGGCAAACCACGGCAGCTCGCCTCCTACGGTACTGTCTAGACGCGCGACGGAGCGCTTCACACCGCTTCCGTGATTCCTTTAACCATTGAGCGCCATCATCCAGGTCTTATGCGTCTTCGTGTGCGCAGAATTATGCTTAGCATAAGTCCGATCCCCCCCCCCAAGACATCTGGAACTCTTCCCTGCTGTGTGAAGGCAACCGAAAGGACAAGTTCCGGTACAAAAGTGGTGTGTCTGAAAACACAGTTCTGGTTAAAAACCGGACTGAATTGTCCACACATATTCCGGAATGTCAATCTGAAAAGGGCTCAAGTGAGGTCATCCCCTCTGCCAGATACACAAAACCCTCCCCCATCTCAAAGACCTCACCTGGAGCACGAGTGGATATGTTCCTAGGGTCGTGTTTCTAATCTTCACATTGCATTTAAATGGATCCAAGCTGATGACTCATTCTTAATTTATAATAAAATAATGAAACTATGCGTTTACCTTCTGATACACTTTGCTGGGGTCTGAAATGGCGTCTTTTCCACAGCCTTTAGTGACGTTGAGGCAGCATGAATCCGGCACTGACTTCCCACTAGAGTCGAAGTTTCTCCAGTCAGCTGAGCCGTTCACACCACAGCACTTCCACTGTAAACCAGTCAGTGCAACACTGCTTATTCAAGTGTAAGCTATGATGTTTGGCATGCACAGTAAAGATTATGCCTTCAGTAAACAAAGGATCATGTCATGGCGCGACTAGCAGGATGCAGCACTGTTATGAAAAGGTGTTGTCTACCTATGTAAACAGTAAGAGATTACACAAACGTACGTCCTCCTGCAGTTGGTCCACGCTGCTCTGGAAGTCCTTGGAGCTGTTCTTGTACTGGCCTATCATGTCAGTGAGGCTATCGTTGACGACTTGTGAGAGCTGTGTGGGAGACGCAACAGAGGCCAAGATGAAACACCACTCACACCTTCTGTAGGGGATCTAATGAAACAGAAACTGAAATCATACCTTGTTTCTGTAGACATATCCAGCGATTGCTGCTGCAACCTCAGCAATGATGATTATAGTGAGGAGAATGGCAAACTGGGAGAAGGAAGAATAAAGATGATTTATATGACCTACCTTTGAACGGCCACAGGTTCCATCCTAATAGTTTTGTGCTTTAATGAGGACCATGTGTAGGTTACCGTGGTGACCATGCAGTAGTTTTCTTTCCAGGCTCCACAGCATCCAAAGAAGGCAATGAAGAAAATCAAGACGCCAACTGCGATGATGAAAATGGGAGCTCCTGAGGCTGACGCGTCTCGAATCATGAAGGTTTTGTGCAGAGACACCTGCACCATGACTCCCACGACAATCAGTGCCAGGCCACATAACTGCAGGAACGAGATGTTAGAATAATGCTACATAAATATGATAATTACTATTTCATTACAGATAAAACACTAATTGCAGTATGTGCTTTTACTTGACATTAGTTAGGCTTCAACATCTTCAGCGGCTGTATCAATAAAGTGATCAGCTGATACCCGGTCAGGGTGGGGTGGTGACAGCAGTTCAGATGTACTTATGTAAACACAACACAGGTGAACTGTTTGATCTGAGCCAAAACAAACAAAGTCTAGAGTAAACAGTAAAAGATGGTATTTATTGTTTCTGACGCTGTATTTTACCAGGGAGCCTGAATGTGACATGACAGGTTTTAGCCAGTTTGCATGTTACAGACAAATAAACAGTATTACACGCTCTACACAAAGTTCGCAAATACACATTTTTTTCATCGTTTTGTAAGAAGTTGTGTGTATTTTGTTTTTCAGTCCACAGATTCTGGACTTTGAAGAACAGATTTGAACTGATAAAAACTAAACTGACCCTAATAAAATAGAGATCACACATCTATTTAATAAATTTCCAGTGGTCTCCAGTATAAATGAATGTTTTGTGAGTCAATCTGTGTGTGGAAAAAAAGCTCAGGTGCTCCAGTTTCAGGAGCTAGAAGTGAGCCACAGTTGAGGGGAGCTGAAGACGGCATTCGGACATCTCGCCCCTGATTGGCTAACAGCAACACTACTCTACCAATGACTCAGTTTGCTTTGCAACATTGATGTTTTATCTCCACAAGTAACACAAGCCTGGAGGAATTCTGCCGTGTGGTGGAGTAGCTAATGCTAACGGTTAGCTTATGCTAGCCGAGACATGCTCTGCCATTCCCTGTACACTAAACCAACAACAGCCTTCTTCTAACTTGACATTATGACGTGTCAATGTTGATCTAATCTGAGTATTTCCTCATCTATTTTCTATCAGCGGATAATGCAAGAAATAGAGGTAGGAGACTATTTTCACATTTAACCTGCATGTTAAACTCAGAGTGATGATCATATTTTACAAATAATGAGTAAAAAAAAGAATTTCTCAGTGACCTTGGCCTTTAAGTAATAGTTCTCATCTTTTCATGTGGACTTAGATAATATTTTATATAAAACTAATACTTTAGTTGTTGATTGCTTTTTGAATGTCCTCAGGTTAGAGAAATAGAGATTAGAAAAGCTAACAGCTAGTTAAAATGGGACCAATATCAAACTGCATTTCTGCCATTTTTAAACTTCTCCAAAGTCAAAATAGTGAATGTTATTTTATAAAGTTTCATACAGCAGTCAAATTTACATGACACTAATTTTGACAGAAATATAAAATTCTGCCTGAAGGTGCTGCAGCTAGCTCCGCTGCCAATTCCAGCTGGAAATAACCGCAGGTTTCTGTGATGCAAAAGGAACAGCAGTGTACAAACCCGTGTTCATCTTTAAGATTAGCTGATTTATGACAGAAACCCACCGTAGTCTGGTCTCCACCGTAACTAGCTGTTAGCTTGCTAATCCCGTTTTACCTAATCACTGTTTCCTCAAACTGAGGTTGTTCAATTACATTTTAAATTTATTTTAGAAAAACCCGAAATATCCTTTTAATAATATAACTAGAAATCCGATGTGAAGGATTTTAGTCTCTGTCAACGTCCTCGGGGGCAGCTGTGGCTACAATGCAGCTCGTCACCATCAGAGTGTGAATGTGTGCATGAACGGGTGAGTGTAAAGCTCTTTGGAGTCCTCTGACACAGAAAGGTGCTTTATACGTGCAGGCTGTTTATCATTTTTGATAATAATTTAATTGATTATTTTAGCTCTAGTAATTAATTATGGCTGGGGTTATAGATTACACTTATATATATAGTTACATACATTTGGTATGGCTTAATAAAGCTGACATGTTAGTTATAGAACATGATTAAACACACAGTGGTAAAAACAAAAACCCACAGAAAGAAGCGCAGACTGAAGATGCACTTATCACCCTTCCTCATTTGTGTTCCCACTAAATTCTGTTTTTGCAGTTTGTTCAAACTCAGATTTCATAATGCATCACTGTAATGACATAGCAAATAAAACAGAAGCTCCAGCTCAAGCTGCTGTTCTCATAGTTATAATATTCTTCTGTGCAGCCAGGCTCAATGTTCAACTACCCATTATCAGACCTGCTTTTGTGTTAACCATGGTAACACACGGCCGATGCGGATAACCTCTCCTTGCTGGCAACACCAATGTCAATATTTGATCCAGAGTCAAATGAGTGGCTAATGGCCGAGACGGAAAACAAGGAGTGGAGCTATAGCAGGAAAACCGAGTCAAGAGGGTAACGTGAATCCTGGGAAAGATGACAAAACAAATGAAAAAATTGTTTTCAAAAGTTTAAATGTGCCAGTGTTCTCTACTTGATCTGAGCCTTGGTTTTTGAGTGTAGACAAACTGAAAATGGTGTAAAGTGTAATGAAAATAGCACACAGCGACAAACGGATCAGATCACAGTTCTGTTGATGATCTCTGGCCAAACGATTTCCAATCAACAGGCTTCCATCACAGCTAATGTTACTGCTAAGAGAGCTATTCAGTAAACAATCTTTTATTTATTAGTTATTGTGTCACTAACATTAATTAATCGGGCACAAGCAGAGTGTTTATCCAGACTACGGCTACATTTATGACAAATAAGCATGCTGCGTGTGTTTGTATCTATTAACATGTAATAACAGAACATTTCACCCTCTCGCCGGATCATAAATAATAATCTACTGTTGCTCATCATACATGGTGCAGAAATCTCTGTTTAAAATAGTTCAGTGTTGATGAAAGATGGAAAAATAATTTGTTGGGAAAAGTCACGTTTCTTTTGCTACACTTTAAAAAAAAGGATTTAAAATCCATCCCAACCTCTAAAATGTTTAAAATTGCAAAACAGAGAACAGACGATGTGCAGGAAATGTTTCCTTTTCTCTGTTAATGATGATGAACAAACACTCTAGAAGGATTCAGGAAGTCCAGTCAAAGGAAGTGAGTGGGTGTGTGTGTGGTGTGTGGGTGTGTGTGTTGGTCATCATCAGCTGATTCTACAGATGATTACTTATTGCAAACATACAACCTAAAGGTGCTGGAACAAAGATGTATTTCATGCTCCATGTCACAGGAAAAAACATCCAAATCAAGTCCAGCCTCGGTTAGCGCTAGAAAATAAACTCACACCGGACACCACACAAAGAAAGGAGTTTTTCTTTCTGACCAACATGCTCCGTCACTCCGTGACTGTTTTAGGTGGTTTCCACATCCATGCTGCTGACTTTAACACACACACACACACACACACACACACACACACACACACACACACACACACACACACACACACACACACACACACACACACACACACACACACACACACACACACACACACACACACACACACACACACACACACACACACACACTGAGGAGCTGGCTCCTACTTACCCAGAAAATAAAGTTGAAAAAGAAAAGTAGGTACTTGACACACTTCATTCCACCTTCGACACCCATGGCTGGTGAAGATCACGATCCTAGAGTTAAAATAAATATTAAACTATGTCTGAATAGCAGACATGACATCAGCTGTAATACGAGAGCAGTGGCAGCTCTGACTCAACACAGGCTTTTGGACAACTTCTAAAATGTAGTTTGAATACAAATCAGCAAGTTTATCATTCACGTAGAAGTTTATCAGGGCTAAACATTAAAATAAACTCCCTAAAAGAGTCTGAGTGTGAGTTAAAACAACCGACAATCAAAAACAACCGACTAAACAAAATAAACAAATAGGCCGCGAAGCCCGCAACAACAACACCAGGGTCACGGGGGGTTTAAAAGCACTTTATATCAGGAAAAAAGGTTAAGCGAACAAAAACACAAACTAAATAATTTGCGTTTCACAACCACCACCAACAAAAGCTGTCTTTAACATTTTCCTTTACTTTCTCAAACCGTTACTTGCTAAAAACAAATTTAGACGTTAAACGACAAAGAGGAGTTGGGTTCGCGGATTAATTTCGTCTTTTTTGTCTTACCTGTGAGTAAATTAATTTCAAAACCTGGAGAGGAGAAAAGTGAAAACTTGTCGAAAAGTTTCTGAAAGATTTAGCGATGGTAGCAGTCCCCCCGGATCCAACGGAAACGCTGCGTCCGCTCAGCTTACAATGCTGCCTTCAGGGACACCTCGGAAAACACGCAGATCACCCTGCTGTGGTGGGAAGAGAGGAAGGGAGGGAGAGGTGAGGTGTGTGCGTGCGTGCGTGCGTGTGTGTGTGTGTGTGTGTGTGTGTGTGTGTGTGTGTGTGTGAGAGAGAGAGAGAGAGAGAGAGAGAGAGAGAGAGAGAGAGAGAGAGAGAGGTTAGAATACTAAAGTATATGTCAAATCTACCCTAAATTACTGTAAATCATAAATAGACATACTTGATATTTTCCCCTTTGGACACCCAAAGCAAAAACACACAATTATAAGCACACTACAATGGCAGAGTGATTTTTTAGAGTTTGTGTAAAATAATGAAAAATTTCCTTACTCAAAATGTTGGCAGTTGATTTAAATGGACAATTTTTATGATCAGCTTGGTCTTTTCTAGGCCTATTGTTGAGCGGTGGCAATACAAATGTAAATTCACAAAATTATTTCGGGCTTGTTGTTAAAAAAGGTAAAATTTAGTGACCTGTTGCATGTAACCTGTTTTCTCTGAGTATTGTTTCAGGTGGGCGTGTCTGAGAGCCACCAGCTGCAGCTGATCTCATCATCAAGGCCCAGGGGATTTAAGGAGCAGTGTGACACTTTACCACGCCGGATGATTGCTCAGTTTTGGGTAGCGCTAGCCTCTGACCCGGTTTTGATCTTGTGTTTCTCTAGTTCCAGTCTGTGTACCAGATCTTGTATATTAATTACTGGATTTCCTGTCGACTAGAAAAGACCCTGACTACTCTTCCCTGCTCTACACCAGGTTTCACTCCACACTCCACCATCTCCATACCAGCTCGGATTCCTGCACTTCATATCACGCTGTCCCCCCCCCCCCCCCCCCCCCGCCCCCCCCCGGCCGCCCGCTCTCAGCCGCTCACCTGCCTCGCCAAGCCTCCGCTCCTACCTCCTCTCTGGTTCAACAGTACCTTCTCCTCCTGGAGCCTTCCTGCTCACCTGGACCTGACCTAGCCCTTCCTGAGGCCCTCACCACTATCTGCTATCAGTAAGCTCCACTCCTAAGATGATCATCCGTCCTTCCCTCCATATACTCACTCTGTCTCCTTCCTCAGAATCCTCTCCTGGAGTGTTGCTGCCAGCCTGCACGTCGTCTGTTCACGTTCCTCTCATTAAATAATAAAGAACCGTTTACTTACTTGCCGGTTCTTGTGATTCTGCATGTCGTGGGTCAGGAAACTCTCACCCAACATGACCTAAGATATTTTGACAAATTTGGCCATCATCTAGCGAAGTTTACATACCCCTGATCTAAAACTTACCCTCCTTCTCTCACATTGAACACGAGTCTGTCTGAATCTTGGTGATTAATGTGCACTTATCCCTTGCCAAGAAAATGCAGCCTGTGGGTTGTTGGTCAAAACCTGTCCAAACGCTGTGTGAAGCTGCTGGACGTCAGGACCCCTATACGCCGATCCAGAACATCTCCAAACATCTTCATGGATGAGATTTCAACCGAGTATATCCGGGATGGAATGTTCTCAGTTTCCAGCTATTGTAAACAGTTTATTTGAACACGGGTGTGCATTATCATGCTGATGGTTGTGGATGAATGGCATAACAATGGGCCTCAGGGGTTTACTACAGAATCTTTGTCCATTTACAGTGCCATCAATAAAACAATTGTTGTCCAAAAGATACGCCTGTCCATCCTGAAACCCCACCATCACCATGGACCACTTGATCCACTACGTTGGCGCCAGTAAACGCAGCCCTATACAGAGACAACTGGGATTCAGGCCAGGCGTGTAATGTAAAAATTGTCCCACACATAAATAGATTAGAATAGAATGCCTTTATTGTCACTATACAGGTGTAAAGTGAGATAAAGAGCATCTCCTAATCAGTGTAAAACAAACATACGGGGGGGGGGGGGGGGTACAGTTCTGCAGCGCTATGTGCTGTATATATGGACAGTAAGTGTTATATACAAATTATTGCACAGTATTGTTGCAGTTCTGCAGCGCTATGTTCATGTGGACAGTAATGTTATGTATATACAATTATTGCACATGGAATTTGGTATCAATAGATAGTGGTGGTCAATGGAGGATGTGGGAAGTGGGGGGCTGTGCTATTGGTGCATGTGTGAGTTCACGGTGGTTATTGCTTTGTGGAAGAAACTGTTTTTGAGTCTGTGGGTTTTTGTATTAATGCACCTGTAGCGCTTCCCTGAGGGAAGCAGTCTGAACATGTTGAAGCCAGGGTGGGAACTGTGCTTGATGATGTTTGCTGCCCTACTGAGGCAGCGGGAGGAATAAATGTCCATCATGGAGGGGAGAGGACCGCCGATGATCTTCTGTGCTGTCTTTACCACACTCTGAAGCCTCACTCTATCCGCCTTGTTGCAGCTGCCGTACCATACCGTGATGCAGAAGGTTAGCAGGCTCTCAATGGACGAGCGGTAGAAGGTCAGCAGTAGGTCGGAGTTCAGTTTGTACTTCCTGAGGACTCTCAGGAAGTGCAGCTGCTGTTGGGCCTTCTTGATGACCGCTGAGATGTTTTCCGCCCAGGAGATGTCAGCAGAGATGAGGACACCAAGGAACCGGAAGGTGTGGACCCTCTCCACACACTCCCCGTTGATGTAGAGGGGGGCCAAGTCGGTGCTGTGTCTCCTGAAGTCGACAATGAGCTCTTTGATTTTCTTGGTGTTCAGGGACAGGTTGTTTTCTGAACACCATGCTGCCAACTTCAGGACTTCCTCTCTGTACTCTGCCTCGTCTCCCTTCGAAATGAGTCCGACTACCGTGGTGTCATCAGCAAACTTGATGATGAGAGTGTTATTGTGGGTCGGACTGCAGTCGTGGGTGTACAGAGAATACAGGAGGGGGCTCAGCACACAGCCCTGTGGGGAGCCGGTGCTCAGTGTGCGAGTGGAGGAGAGATGAGGGCCGAGTCTCACAGTCTGGGGCCGGTTTGTGAGGAAATCCTTTATCCAGGCACATGTGAGAGGAGGGAGGCCAAGAGTGACCAGTTTGTTGATATGGATGTCCGGGATGATTGTATTAAAGGCTGAGCTGTAGTCCACAAAGAGCATTCGGACGTAGCTCTGCCGCTGCTCTAGGTGACTCAGCACAGCGTGGAGGGCTGTGGCGATGGCGTCTTCTGTGGATCTGTTTGCACGGTATGCAAACTGGTGGGGGTCGAATTCTGGGGGGAGGTGATCCTTTATGTGCTGAAGAAGTAGTCTCTCAAAGCATTTCATGATTACCGGTGTGAGGGCCACAGGGCGGTAATCATTTAAGCTGGAGATGGGAGACTTCTTCGGTACTGGGATGATTGTGGCTGATTTTAGACAGGACAGGATGGCTGCCTGTTCCAGTGAGAGGTTGAAGAGTCTGGTGAAGATGAGGCTGAGCTGGTGTGCGCATGTTCTTAGTACTTTGCCAGGTACTCCGTCTGGACCGGCCGCCTTCCTGGGGTTCACTGCTAGGAGCACACGTCTGACATCGTGCTCCGTTACAGTGAGTGGAGTAAGAACCAGGTGAGGATGAGGATGGCAGCAGGGCTGAAGCAGACGAGTGTTGCTGCTGTGGTGTTTCAAAGCGGGCAAAGAAGCAGTTTATTTCCTCTGCCAGCTGCACACTCAGGTTTTCAGTTTTTGCAGTGCTGCTTCTGTGGTTGGAAGATATATATAAATATAGCATTAATATAGCAAATATATTATAGCAAATATAGCAAATATAGCATTTAATCACAATAACATGGTTCCAACAACAATTGGCCCAACACAAATCTCCTTCTTTTTCAGGCTAAATGTTTCTTTTTATTCAACTTCTTTATTGTTTCATTTATATAACAACTGCGGTATCTAAATACTTGCAGCTGAACACACATTTCATAGTTTTTTAAGTTACCAAATCAGGCTCTTCTTAAGTTTCACTCACAGAAAAAGAAAAACTCAAAACCGACTCTTTTTTAAGTGTTTCCTCTTTCACACACCCGTTAACTCCCTCGACTAGCTGAACCATTACCTCCTTGTAATCATTTCAAAATAATGCAATGACTCTGCAAGCATAACCCCGCACATGTGTTCTCGTGTCTAATTTCACTCAAAGTGAACTTGAATCTCAACAACAAACAAGTTCCGAAAGGTAGAAAGGTAACCTGGTTTCCTTTCGTGACGAAAGCGAAACTACTTAATCATGACGTTTAGAACAAATAGACGAACGGCGATGCACTGAATGAGCATCCTTCACTCCTCCTGCTAGCAACCTGCTAATATCACATCATGGTTAAAAGCTTTCAAAGGGATTGCAGCCATTTCCATTGACTGTTTGAACTTACACTTACTATTCTCTTCATCTATCCATTTTTTTGTTACTGTTCTTCATTGCTTTTTCTCGCTTTGATTTTACTGACAGTTCTGCTAATAACAGCTCAGATCTTTAGAGTTTTTATGCTATTTTCCCCAGGATTCAACACTAACAATTAGATTTCTGCAATAAATCTACTGGGAAATTACAGACAGGTGGAAATAAAGAGTCAACATGTAAACTGGGTGAATTGGATGACTATTTATAGTCCTCCATAGTCAGCAACTTGACACTGGTCTGTGTGAACAGTTGGTGGGCCTTGTCTGGCAGTAAGATACACACATGGGAGGAGTTGAAGCACAAAAAGCCCCCAAATATAGTTTTTTCCCTTTTGATTAGTGAGAGGGTGGTGCGAGACGACTACATGCCTGTGTAGTTTCCTACTCTACACAGGTGCGGGGCCTGCGGGGTTCCTCAAGGATCGGTGCTGGACCCGTTGTTGTTCTCCCTTTATTTGTTTCCTCTGGGTTCTATTTTTATGAAACATGGATTTTTTTTCATCTATATGCAGACAACACCCAGGTTTATATTCCCATTAAACGTGGCCTACCCAGTTCATTAGATCCTCTTCTAAACTGCCTCGGTGAGGTTGAAACCTTGATGTCTACTAATTTTTCACACTTTAATAATGACAAGACTGAAGTCATACTTTTTACTCCCAGTGTGTCCAGTGGGCCGTGTTCAGCTGACGTTGGTCCA